TCAGGGCAGACTTATGGATGCGGTAATTGTTATCCTCACAGGGGTGTACCTGTGTGCGCATGTTTGGTGTGGAAGTGGCGGTAGGGAAGCTGATGGGTGCTTAAAGAACAAAGATGAGAGCCTGAGACCAAGGGCGGAACAGGGTACTCAGAAGAGCCGGGAGGAACAAGTCTGCCAAAATGAAAAATAGATAACCTGTGGAACGCGTAAAAGGTACTCCCCTCTGTTGGTAGCAGGGAATCTCTATTGACATGAAATTTGAAATCACTGATTAGCAAAACAGTGTTGATTTTCCACCAAGTTATGGGTTAGGTTGGGTGGGTCATACTGGTGAAGCTGAGCTCACCGGACCCCCACGCTCACAAGGAAGGTGCGCCCCACCTCCGCCTGCAGCGCCCCGGCCCGCCGGGTGGCAGAGAGGACCTGGGGCACTCCTCCCGCCTCGCGGTTCTGGGTGGACTTGACGCCCGGGCCTCTCATGCATAGGAACTCCATTTCGTTCCATTCATCTGCCCGGCTGAGCCTCCTTCCAGATGCCGGGTCTTGTCCTCCTCAGGGCCTCCAGGGTCGTAGGGGCGGACCTGGGAGCCTGGTTCCTGGGCGCGGCACGCCCTGGGCCTCAGGAGTCCACGTCCCCCAAGCTTTTCTTCCTCACCTGTGCTCCCTGCACGCCCGACTCTGTGTTTTTATTTCATGATACGGGAGACAGAGTAATTCAGAGGACATCCTGAGACAGAGCCTTCGAAATACTTAAAAAATGCTGGAGGCACAATTCATGGAAAGCAGAATTTGGTCAGGCTTTGACCCCGGGAGAGGAGAGGAACGGCGTGTGCCACCTGATCCTTGGGCCACGACCACCCGCAGGGGCAGCACGAGTCAAGGACCAAGGACGGCCCAACTGCACTGTAAACCAACATGGACTCACAGCAGGAGAATAAAAGGATAAAGCTTTGTAAATAGGAGGTCAAGAGGTTTGTGACTGGAATGAGCTCCTTTTATTTTAAATTCCGTGCCAAGTGGTAAGGGGTAGAGTTTATTCGCTTCAAATCTCACATTCAACATCGGGGCAGGAGCTCATGCAAAGCTGAAAGGGACAGTCTTCTCCCTTTCTGAGGAATGTACCCAACAGTCAACTTATCAGACCTGAATTTGGAATAAATGCCACCTGGAAATATCTCCTTCCCATTAATTTTCACGTAAAAGCAGACAGTTAAGTGGTTTGGATATTATTTTGAGATATTAATTTGTTATTAATGGCAAACATTTTAGGGTATGGTTAGTTTCATTTTCTTGGGTGTCAAGTACATGGTGTTTCCTGAAAATCATAAAATATCTTCCTCCTGTTCCTAGCAAGAGTGATGTATCCCATTGTCTTGTTTGTGCGCTACTTAGCTGTGTTATGGTAAATGACAACAGGGAATTATCTATCCCTTTGAATGTTTCAAATGGGACTTTTAATTAAGCATATTAGCCTGATGTATCATCATTCGAGCAGCAACTAAAATAAGATTATAAGCATTTTCAACTTTTGAATGCCCGCAGAACATGAAAAGCACTTTATGAGGCCTGCGTTAATGCATATTTCATGATAATGTAATTCTATATTAGATATTCCACTTATGTATACAGCCCAAAGAGTTTCTGCTCTGTAGTGATTCTGATTTAAATGAGTAAACCACAAGCAATCACAAAAATTTAACTCCGCATCTCAGAATTGTTGTGCTTATAAAAGAATTGGAGGGAGAGGGCAGAATTTCACCTTTAGTTAGGCGCGAGTACAGCACTTATGTTTCAGGTGGGATGGGGTGAGAAAGGATGGATGCAACATTTCTTCTTCACAACACTAACTGATTAGGGATAATCCTGATCATACCCTGAGCATTTCCCCTTTGCTCCACACGGAAACAGCCGAGGCCAGGTCTGCTGCACTGAGCACACAGCAAGGCTGGGTTGCACACGGCGGGGTGGTGAGGGGCCGGTGGGCTGGTGATCGCATGGGCGAGAGGAGCATGTGCCACATCCATGCATAAAGAGACCCTGAGACGTAGACGCATGGCACTCTGTAGGGCTGCCATTAAGTATCCTGCACAATATTACTAATAGACCTTTTACAATTTTTATAGCTTCCCGAGTTAATTTTGAGTCAGTGCTAGCATTCGATTATTTCCTGTTGAATAAGGAACAAAACAGGCCTAAAGACTGAAAGGAAAACTGCTGTGGGGAGTGATCTCTCCACATGATGGACGTTTTCTGGCAGATTGTGATTTGTGGCTCAGAATGAGCCAGATCACTGTGCCATATGGAAGGCAGCAGAGCCTGCGGATGCGGACTCAGTCACTCAGCAGACGTCTGCATTCCTACTACGCATCAGATACTAACTGGCCATTGGGAAACAAAGATGAGTGAGCAATGATATCTGCTGCCATGGAATTCATTCACTCGTTTATTAATTCATTCATCCATCAACAATTTATGGAGCATTAATGATGTGCATTGTATATTAGGGGACTGGAATATGTAAACATAGTGCAAATTACCATATGGTATTATGACAAAGTTGGTTATAAAAAAGGGAAAAAAATGCTTCACAAGCATAGAGGTGCAGAGAGAGAGACTAATTATACCTGGTATAGTCATAGGAATTCCCTCAGCCTGAATCTAGAAGATGGGTTAAGGAATTAAGAGTGGGGGTGTGGGGTGGGAAGGAGGGCAAGGCCATTCCTGGCAAAGAAATAGCATTAGCAAATCCCAAGGATTCATGCTTGGGAGGAAAAATAAGAAAATAAAAAATTAATTGTGGATATAGCTTGTGGCTTCACAGGCAGGAAATGCAGCTAGAAATAACCTGTGCAAGATCTTCTGTGTCATGTTAGAGCTTTAGCTTTATTTCATTTACCAGGAATAGAACATCCCAGAGCTCTCCCCTTTCTATCCTCATGGCAGACGTCCCCTGTCTGCCATGAATGGTGTTCTTTCCTGCTGAGCCCAGGCCAACTGTGGAATTCCTCTCTACACAGGGCTTTAGGAAGTCACCACCAACTTACTGGAATTGGTATTTAGGAGAAGTAGATTTACAATCTTTGCTACAGGAAAGGAAGCTAACTAAGGTTTTTAAATATAGGATTGACAAGGTCAGATTTGATTGTTGGGAAGACTATTTCACTAATGCACTAGAGAATGGGTTGGAGTGGGGAGAATCTTGAATCAGGAAAACTAATAGTAAACTGTTTGACAGTTGAAGCCATTTGAGTTCAATCTGGGTGCACACTGAAATACTTGGGTGCTTATTAAAACGCTCTTATATCTATGTAGGCCCCAGCCCAGTGAGCCCAAGATTCACATAGGCCCAGGCGTTGAGCTCCACTTGTTTGGGTGTCAGTTAATGAGAACATTTATTAACAGAAGAGGTTTTATCCTCCTTCGAGGAGAAGAGAGAGGATGACTTGGGGAAGATGGGAAAGGATTTGCCACTATTTGGCCTTCACTCCACACACTAATAGTGACTGCTTTCTTGGCTGCCTGCTATGCGTCTGTTGATTTACAGGCACATTGTTTCATTTAATCCCCCACCTTCTGATATGTATTTATTATCCTCAATTTACGGCTGAGGTAGCCGAGCCTCAGAGTCCTTAAGTAACTTGCTTAATCCTAGGGCAATCTGATGCCAAAAGTTATATTTTTTTCACTCCTCCATGTTACTTTTAGATCTTTTATTTAAATCACATATAAAACACAGGAAATATATTAAAAGAAACAGGGCAGCTGGGGAGTGTGTTGGCTATGATCAAGTTCACTTTCAGGAATTAAAACCTTTTGCTGTGAAAAGGCTGGGCTGGCCCTTTGGCCCAGGAAGTGGGTGATTTTACCCTATTGTAGTCTTTTCGGGAAGACTGATGAGAAC